AAGGGGGGGGGAGGAGAATGGAGGAAAAAGGGCTAGGAAGATAAGGGAAAAAAAAAGGGAAAAAAAGAGGGGTGGGGAGAAAAGGAGGACGGGGGGGGAATGAGAAAATGAGGGGAATTTTCCTATATGCCTATCGGGTTTGTGCACTTCCCCTTTAGGCGTGCACCCAGGGCTTTATGTAGGCAACTTACACCTGTCAGTCTCCTGAACATGTGTGTTTCTCCACAAAAACAGGAGCAGATACACGCAAAAAGGCGGGACCAGGGGATGAAACGCCCCCAATCAAAAAGGGAGACAAATAGTGAGTAACCACACACACACCACACACAACACACACCACAACACCCACACACACACACACAAAAAAAAAACTACCTGAGGGGTGGAAGAAAGCAAAAAAAAGTCCCAGTTTAAGAAAGGGAAAATGACTATTTAACTACAGACCCCGGGCTGAATTTTTAGTACGCAAAGTCATTGAAAAAAATTTTTGGGAAAGAGTGGGGGGCCCCTAGAAAAAGGGAAAGGTTATGGACGATAAAAACCCCTGTTTCAAAGAAGGGAACCTATGGAGTTTTTCGCAAATGACAGAAATAAAATTAAAAATTTGAGAAGGGGGGTAAAAGGCTGTCGAAAACAATTAAACACATGAAATTCGGCAAAAGCTAGAGGATCAGATGAAAAAAAAAGGGAAAAGGCACGCAAAAGGGCCAGGAATACGATGGGAAGGAAAAAAACAATGATGGTACTGACGAGGCTCAGAGTGGGGAGTCTGGCGAGAGGGGTGCAAGGGTCGTCCCCAGGGCCGGTTTTTCTGATTATGTGAATGAAATGATGCCAAGGGTAGATTCGGGGGTTTCTGGTTTTAGACGTGTGAACTAATGCGAAGAATTTAACGGATGAGGGTCAAGTAGGGCTACAAAGGGATCTGGACAGGCTGCAAGCCCCGGGGAGAACTGGCTTGGGTTATAAACCCCCAATGCAAAGTCAAGAAGATTGTCGAAGGGCAAAAAACCCTAGAAAAATACGGCTAGAGGGGGCCCGAGCTAAACCCTACCAAAAAAAAAAAGGGTCTTTGGGGGGAGTATAATACCCAGCAATCTCCCGAGGCGCAATCAACCAAACAACATGCGCAGCATATGGGGGGTCTGGAAAACATAAAATGGTTTTTTACACCTTAGAACGAATCTTCAAGCATGGAACCCCCATCTGGTCTAGCTGTCAAAAAAATTAGAAAAGTGCAAAGGTTTACAACAAGAGTAGTCCGGAGCTATGAGGGGGTATATTTAAAGAGGAGGGTTAAAGGGAAAAATTTACCTGAAACACTGACGAAAAGGGGAATAGGGGGCAATATTACACATAAAAAAATGAGAAAAATTGACAAAAGGGGGATAGGGACAGGATGCTCAAGATGGGACACGCAACAAAGGGAACAACGGAAGTTGAAGACTCAGATGAATTAAAGGGTGGGTTTGGAAGTATTTCTTCAGTCAAAAAGTTGTCAGGAAGTGGAACAATCTGGAGATAGTTGTGAAGCGGTTCAACTTTTTTAAAGAAAAGGTTAAAGACTGTTAGAGCGAAAAGAGTGTGGATGGCTAGTAGCGTCTAGCGAAGAGGCGGGGCCAACCCCTTAATTTGACCCCGCAACAAAATATGGGGATACACATAAACATACACACTGTCATCCCTCTATCAATCTGTCGTTGTCTCCCTGTCTTGTCTCTCTCTTCCCTCCTCACTCTCTACTCTTCACTCTCCTTTCACTTTCACCTTTCATCCTTTATTTTCCTTCCCCCTTCCCCCATTCTCACTTTATTCCTTCCCTTTTTTTCTCTCACCTTCCTCCTCTTTTTTTCTTTCCTTTCCCTCTTTTCCTTTCTCTTTTTTTTTTTCTTTTGTTTTTTTAAATTTCGCGTTTATCTATTAATTTATTTTCCCCCTTCCTAAAAAAAGTTTTTTTTCACTTTTTATTTTGTTCCCCTTTCTCTTCCTCTCATCCCAAATTTCCTTTGTTTGTCTTTTCCCCGTTGTTTGCCTTTCTCTTTATTTTATAAGTCTTTTTGTTTTGAGAATTTTTCTTCTTGAGTAATTTTTTTTCCCCGGGCCCTTAAAATTTGCCTCTTTCCTTTTTTCCCTACCCCCGGGCTTCCCCCGGAAAACCATTATTATTCCCCCCTTGTTGTCTCTCGGGGGTCCTTTTTGGCTTCTGTTTCCCCTTTTTTTTCCCTTCCCCTTTTTCCTGAAAAACCCCCACGGAAATTTTGAAAGGCCCCTTTTAAAAATTTTTTGGGTTATCCCGCAAAAGTTATTTTAAAGCCATAAATTACGTTTGTTAAATTTTTTTGTTTCTCAAATAAATTTTTTATAAAAGAGTTTTTCCCCAAAAGTAAAGAAAAGCGGGGAATTCATGCGAAATTTGCCATATAAAAAATTTTTTTTTCCCCAAAATGCCAAAAACAAACCCCAAATTGGAAATGTCTGTTTTTTGAAAACAAGGGAGAAAATTTTGCTTATTGATGTCACAAGACATTTTTTTTAGTTGTTTTACCCAGCAAAAAAGATACTTTTATAACCAAGGTAAACCGGGAAAAAAATTACGCTATTTAGCACAGTGAAAATGTTCCCTAGTTTATTTATTTAAAGGTGACCCAAAGGGGTTCCCAGGCAAAGTACCAATAAACCCAATCCCTTTGGCTTTAGTTTCCCTGATTGTAGAACATGGCTAACACGATGGTTATTAAAAAGCACATTAAAACATGAGGCCCGTGCAATACCTGGTTTTAGAAGCACTGATTTAACATGAGGAAAAAACACACCTGGTTTCTTAAAAAGCTTGATTGCAAACTTAAAAATAAATTTATTTCAAAAAGTGCTAAAACCAAAACTCCCTCACCTGTCTAAAATTTGGGTAATTTCCTGTTGAAAAAGTTGGTTGTTATCAAAATTTTAAAGGACAAAAGGGGAAAAAAATTTTAAAAATTTATTAAAAAAGGGGGAAAACCTGGTTGGGGTAAAAATCCCCAAAAAATGGCTTGTTGCTTGTTTCCTTTCCCCCAAAAGTTTCCCTAGTTTTCCTTTTTCAAATTACACCCAAAAACCCCCCGGAAAAACCAAAAAACACAAAAACACTCAAAACCAGCAAAAAAAAAAACCAGTTAAAGTAAAAACAAGAAATCTGGGAATTTTAAGAAGTTCTTTATAATTTTTATTAAAAAAAAATACAGAGCGTGAAAGGGGAAAATTGCTTTGGATGTTCATTGCTTAAAAAATACTGGTTTAAATTTTAAAATTAAGGCCCCTAGTTTAAAAAAGAATTCCCCCTGGTGTGGGAAGAAATTCGTGTAAAATCTTCATGAGTTGCAATTTGGGTGTGCTAACCTAAAAACCAATGGGGTTAATTTTATAAAAGTAAAAACTTTTTTGGTGGGATGCCTTTCCAGCTTTTTTCTTTCCCCCCGTCGAAAAGGGTTTTTCTTTTGTATTGCTGTTTTTTCACACCACACACACACACACAACACACACACACACACACACACACACACACACACACACACACACACACACACACACACACACACACACACAAATATAATTCCTTTGTATACGGGGAAGATGGGACAAGAAAATTGCTAGAATTACAGGCAAAGTGTATGGTAGAATTAATTTTGCAGCATTTAAGGATAAAACAGAAGGTAGGATTGCAAAAGAAAAAGAGGATTTAGGAAGGGTAAGGGCTGTATAGAGCGAGTGTTTACATTGACACATATAAGGTACCTGTGTTTAGATAAGGGTGTAGTAACTTTTTATCGCAGCTATGGATTTAGAAAATGAATACAATAGGGTGGATATGGGGAGAGATAATGTGGCAGATGTTCGAAATGCGAGGGTTACATAAGAAGTTACTGCAAATATTCAGGGCTGAATGACAGGGGACCTAGCACACACTCTTGTGATACGCTTGAAGGTCATTAACAGCTACATACCTCTCACCATTCCTTGGTAGCATCACGTCATTCCTTACCAGCATAATGTCATTCCCCACGAGTCTCACGTCATTCCCCTCCAGCATCACGTCATTAGCCTCCAGGATCACGTCATTTCCCTCCAGCATCCCATCATCCCCCGCCAGCTTCCCATCATCCCCCGCCAGCATCTCATCATTCCCAGCCAGTCTCCTGTCCGCCTGTATTGTTCTAATTCAGTTTAATGTATGTGCGTTGTATTTTTTTGTTCCTCTGGTCTTGCACCTCATTATCGTTGGTCTGTTAATTCCAGTCAATTATTCTTGGAGGCGCCATCTTACCTCTTCATTCGCTCTTTTTATTTTGTTCCCTTTCATCTTTCCATCACCCTTAGTCCTCTCTCTCTCTCTCTCTCTCTCTCTCTCCTCTCTCTCTCTCTCTCTCTCTCCTCTCTCTCTCTCTCTCTCTCCTCTCTCTCTCTCTCTCTCTCTCTCTCTCTCTCTCTCATCTCTCTCTCACTCTCTCTCTTTCTCTCTTTCACCACCTCCACTACCAGCCGTTCTCCTTTTCTCTACGCTCATCCCTTGTTCTTCCCTTTTTCCTCTTCCTCCAACCTATCTTTCTTTCCCCACCTACTCCCTCTTTTCCTCCACCACCCGTCCTCATCTACCTAATTTATTTATGTCTTCTGCATCATTTATCTTATTCTTGTGCCTCATGCCCTTCTAGCTTCCCTCTTTCCATTCCATCACGCTATATATGTTTGCTCATCTCAACTTCCTCTCCTTCCCCCTTCCTTCAGGAATTGCATTCTTTCCATCCTCTTCTTTCTTACTTCCCTGCTTTATTTTTTATCCTGCCTCTTCTTAACCCTTTCCACCCTCCTTTCTATTGTCCTTCTTTCATTGCTTCTCGTTCCTTCCTTCCCTCTTATCATTTCTATTCATTTCTTCATCATTTCCACTTTCCGACGTAATGAATTATTAAAAACGTAAACTGAATAAAAATGGTTAAAACTGTGGTCTAACATTACTTGTGTAGATGTTGGTGAGAGGGAATTTGTGGATGCTGGTGAGAGGAAGTTTATGGATGCTGGTGAGAGGGAGTTTGTGGATGCTGGTGAGGAGTTTGTGGATGCTGGTAAGAAGAAGTTTATGGATGCTGGTGAGGAGTTTGTGGATGCTTGTGAGAGGGAGTTTATGGAAGCTGTTGAGAGCGAGTTTGTGGATGCTGGTGAGAACGAGTTTGTGAGTGCTGGTGAGAGGGAGTTTAAGAGTGCTAGTGGGGCAGTTTGAGAGTGCTAGTGAGGGGGGAAATATGAAGGGGGAACTTCGCTGACAGATCAAGGACAGTGTAAAGATCGGCTCCCCGAATGAGAGAAAAATCTTCCCTCCCGCGAAACTTTTTTACTCTGAAAATTACAAGTCTTTGCTCTGATTCTGTTGGACATTCATTACGCTGTACTGGGATGACGTTGTACTGGGATAACGTTGTACTGGGATGACGTTGTACTGGGATGACGATGTGCTGGGATGACGTTGTACTGGGATAACGTTGTACTGGGATGACGTTGTACTGGGATGACGTTGTACTGGGATAACGTTGTACTGGGATGACGTTGTACTGGGATAACGTTGTACTGGGATGACGTTGTACTGGGATGACGTTGTACTGGGATGACGTTGTACTGGGATGACGTTGTACTGGGATGACGATGTGCTGGGATGACGTTGTACTGGGATAACGTTGTACTGGTATGACGTTGTGCTGGGATGACGATGTGCTGGGATGACGTACCGGGATGACGTTGTACTGGGATGACGTTGTGCTGGGATGACGATGTGCTGGGATGACGTACCGGGATGACGTTGTACTGGGATGACGTTGTGCTGGGATGACGTTGTACTGGGATGACGTTGTACTGGGATGACGTACTGGGATGACGATGTGCTGGGATGACGTACTGGGATGACGTTGTACTGGGATGACGTTGTAATGGATGACGATGTGCTGGGATGACGTTGTACTGGGATAACGTTGTACTGGGATGACGTTGTACTGGGATGACGTTGTACTGGGATGACGTTGTACTGGGATGACGTTGTGCTGGGATGACATTGTACTGGGATGACGTTGTACTGGGATGACGATGTGCTGGGATGACGTACTGGGATGACGTTGTACTGGGATGACGTTGTGCTGGGATGACGTTGTACTGGGATGACGTTGAACTGGGATGACGTTGTGCTGGGATGACATTGTAATGGGATGACGTTGTACTGGGATGACGTTGTACTGGGATGACGTATTGGGATGACGATGTGCTGGGATGACGTACTGGGATGACGTTGTACTGGGATGACGTTGTACTGGGATGACGTTGTTATGGGCCCCATGCGTTGTACTGGGATGACGATGTGCTGGGATGACGTTGTACTGGGATAACGTTGTACTGGGATGACGTTGTACTGGGATGACGTTGTACTGGGATGACGTTGTACTGGGATGACGTTGTGCTGGGATGACATTGTACTGGGATGACGTTGTACTGGGATGACGTTGTACTGGGATGACGTTGTACTGGGATGACGTTGTGCTGGGATGACGTTGTGCTGGGATGACGTTGTACTGGGATGACGTTGTTTTGCTGTGGCCCGGGGAGGCATCTGTGACGACCTGAGGAAAATTAATCTGAGTTTGTGTTGGGTGTAAAGGCCTTGCATTTTATATGTACAAAACATTCCGATGTACTATAATGACGAAAATGAGGCCATGTGTTGCATGTAAATATTATGTATTGGATATAATGTGATTTTGTGATTCAATAACTCTGTGTCATCAACCACCCTATCATTCCTTGCCTTCTCTCTTACAGATACTCGTCATTATGATGAAAAAGGCATATATGCAACACCGGGGCGTCTAAATTGTGAAGACGTTTCTCCTAACAGTGGCTGGCGAAATGTCTATATATTTACGATTCCCGTTACTGCATACCATTACTGCTAATTATGATTATACTAGATTGTCTTTTCTCACTTCCCCGTCTATTCTTCCCTTTTGTGTATTAGTCGCTGGAGGGAGAAAGTGTGTGATGCTTCCTTGTAATCTTGGATTATACAGTACATATATCCATATCTTAATTGTTTTATTAATATAACCGTTGTATAGACCTCTACCAGGTTCTATAGACGAGAATTCCATTCCTGAAATTTTGTACGTAGTGTGTTGAGTACTGGTACGTAGTGTGTGGTGTACCGGTACGCGATCGTGTGGCGCGTAGTGCGTGTGAAGGGTGGAATATGTTTTGTGAAGTGTGTATGAAGCACTTGGGGTGTGGTGTGCTGCTTTGGTGTGTTTGTGTGTGTGTGTGTGTGTGTGTGTGTGTGTGTGTGTGTGTGTGTGTGTGTGTGTGTGTGTGTGTGTGTGTGTGTGTACTCACCTAGTTGTGCTCACCTGGTTTGAGGTTGCAGGGGTCGAGTCCAAGCTCCTGGACCTGCCTCTTCACTGCTCGCTACTAGGTCACTCTCCTTGAACCTTGAGCTTGATCATATTTCTGCTTAAAGCTATGTATGGATCCTGCCTCCACTACATCGCTTCCCAAACTATTCCACTTCCTGACTACTCTGTGGCTGAAGAGATACTTCCTAACATCCCTGTGATTCATCTGTGTCTTCAACTTCCAACTGTCCCCTTGTTACTGTGTCCAATCTCTGGAACATCCTGTCTTTGTCCACCTTGTCAATTCCTCTCAGTATTTTGTATGTCGTTATCATGTCCCCCCTATCTCTCCTGTCCTCCAGTGTCGTCAGGTTGATCTCCCTTAACCTCTCCTCGTAGGACATACCTCTTAGCTCTGGGACTAGTGTTGTTGCAAATCTTTGCGCTTTCTCTAGTTTCTTTACGTTCTTGGATAGGTGTGGGCTCCAAACTGGTGCCTCATACTCCAATATGGGCCTAACGTACACGGTGTACAGGGTCCTGAACGATTCCTTATTAAGATGTCGGAATTTTCTTCTGAGGTTTACTAGGCGCCCATATGCTGCGGCAGTTATTTGGTTGTTGTGCGCTTCAGGAGATGTGCCTGGTGTTATACTCACCCTAAGATCTTTTTCCTTGATTGAGGTTTGTAGTCTCTGGCCCCCTAGACTGTACTCCGTCTGGGGTCTTCTTTGCCCTTCCCCAATCTTCATGACTTTGCACTTGGTGGGGTTGAACTCCAGGAGCCAATTGCTGGACCAGGTCTGCAGCCTGTCAAGATCTCTTTGCAGTTCTGCCTGGTCTTCGATCGAATGAATTCCTCTCATCAACTTCACGTCATCTGCAAACAGGGACACTTCGGATTCTATTCCTTCCGTCATGTCGTTCACAAATACCAAAAACAGCACTGGTCCTAGGACTGACCCCCGTGGGACCCCGCTGGTCACAGGTGCCCACTTTGACACCTCGACACGTACTATGACTCGCTGCTGTCTTCCTGACAAGTATTCCCTGATCCATTGTAGTGCCTTCCCTGTCATCCCTGCTGGTCCTCCAGTTTTTGCACTTAATCTCTTGTGTGGAACTGTGTCAAACGCCTTCTTGCAGTCAAGAAAATGTGTATGCGTGTGTGTTGTGTGTGTGTGTGTGTGTGTGTGTGTGTGTGTGTGTGTGTGTGTGTGTGTGTGTGTGTGTGTGTGTGTGTGTGTGTGTGTGTGTGTGTGTGTGTGTGTATGTGTGTGTGTGTGTGTGTGTGTGTGTGAGTGTGTGTGTGTGTGTGTGTGTGTGTGTGTGTGTGTGTGTGTGTGTGTGTGTGTGTGTGTGTGTGTATGTGTGTCTGTCTGTCTGTCTGTCTGTCTGCGTTTGTCTAGCATATGTTTGTGACCAGTGTGTGCGCGCGTGTCTAGAGAGTGTGTCTAGTCTGTGTCTAGTGTGTGTTTCAAGTATGAGTCTCGTGTGTGTCTAGCGTGTGTGTCTAGTGTGTGTGTGTCTAGCTTGTGTGTGTCTAGTGTGTGTGTCTAGTGTGTGTGTCTAGTCTGTGTGTCTACTGTGTGTTTCTAGTGTGAGTCTCGTGTGTGTCTAGTGTGTGTGTTAGTGTGTGTGTCTAGTCTGTGTCTAGTGTGTGTTTCTAGAGTGAGTCTCGTGTGTGTCTAGTGTGTGTGTGTCTAGCCTGTGTGTCTAGTCTGTGTGTCTAGTCTGTGTGTCTAGTCTGTGTCCTTGTATGTGAGTCTGTGTGTGTGTTTAGTCTGTGTGTGTGTGTTTAGTGTGTGTGTGTGTCTAGTGTGGGTGTGTAGTGTGGGTGTGTGTTTAGTGTGTGTGTGTCTTAGTGTGTGTGTAGTGTGTTTTTGTTTAGTGTGTGGTGTGTCTAGTGTGTGTGTGTGTTGTGTGTGTGTAGTGTGTGTGTGTCTTTAGTGTGTGTGTGTTTAGTGTGTGTGTGTCTAGTCTGTATGTGTGTCTAGTGTGTGTGTGTGTTTAATGTGTGTGTGTGTCTAATGTGTGTGTGTGTCTAGTGTGTGTGTGTGTGTATTGTGTGTGTTTAGTGTGTATGTGTTTATGTGTGTGAGTATGTGTTTATGTGTGTGTGTGTTTAGTGTATGTGTGTCTAGTGTGTGTTTAGTGTGTATGTGTTTAGTGTGTGAGTATGTGTTTAGGTGTGTGTGTGTTTAGTGTGTGTGTGTCTAGTGTGTGTGTGTGTGTGTGTGTGTGTGTGTGTGTGTGTGTAGTGTGTGTTTGTTTAGTGTGTGTGTCTCGCGTTGTGTGTGTGTTAGCGTGTGTGTGTTGTGTGTTGTGGTGTGTGTGTGTGTGTGTGTGTGTTGTGTGTAGTGTTGTGTGTGTGTGTGTGTTTAGTGTGTGTGTGTGTTTAGTGTGTGTGTGTCTAGTGTGTGTGTGTGTGTTTAGTGTGTGTGTGTCTAGTGTGTGTGTGTGTCTAGTGTGTGTGTGTGTGTAGTGTGTGTGTTTAGTGTGTATGTGTTTAGTGTGTGTGTGTGTGTTTAGTGTGTGTGTGTTTAGTGTGTGTTTGTCTAGTGTTGTGTGTGTGTGTGTGTGTGTGCAGTGTGTGTGTGTATAGTGTGTGTGTGTGTAGTGTGTGTGTGTGTTAGTGTGTGTGTTTAGTGTGTGTGTGTAGTGTGTGGTGTGTGTGTGTGTGTGTGTAGTGTGGTGTAGTGTAATGTGTGTGTGTAGTGTGTGTATGTGTGTGTATGTAGTGTGTGGTTGTAGTGTGTGTGTAGTTTGTGCTTGTGTTCTAGTCTGTGTGTCTAGAGTGTTTCTATTATGAGTTTCGTGTGTGTCTAGTGTGTGTGTCTAGTGTGTTTACCTG